CCCGATTTCAACACCAGTTACATGAGAGAAATTGTCGATGGAATTTGGAAGATGGGTGAATTTTCTTAGCAAGGTTTGGACCAATACCAGAAACTGAATAGTTGCGGAACTTAGCTTATTAGCAATTTCAACAGGGTCTGGAATTTCTGTATTGTCGATACTACTTTTAAACAATGAGGAAAAATTAGTTTTTCGGTCCACTTTCATTAATAACTTCATTAAGATCCTTGCAAGTGGATTTGATATCAGATTTAACATTTTCAAATTTCCTAACATAATATGATGATTTGACGATTTTCACAGAATAATTCAATTTGTTTTTGTATCTTTTGTATAACAATTCATTTTCAGATGTAGGGTTGCGTAAGTAACGCTTATATAATGTTTCTTTATTTTTATAGATATTAAAACACCTTTAGATAGCCATGGTTTACTGATAAAATGATGTTTTCTTTTTGTTTGTTTAATTGAAAAGCAGGTGTTATTATATATATATTTGGGTATAAAATTAGAATGAAAAATTGATGTGATTGATTTGGATCATTCAAATTATCAGGGCCGTACACTACGGGAGGCAACTGCCTTACTGCCCCACCCCCAGACAAAACTATATTTACTATTTTTAGAATGTCATTATTAATTATTCTTTGGATATTTGGGACTTTTTTCGGCATATAGGCCTTACTGCTCCCCTGGTGAAAAAATCCTGCGAACGGCCCTGCAAATTATGTTCGTTTTTCTAACGAATTGTAAAGTCATTTTGCCTCTTGCTGTCTGATTGTTTTCAAAGCAAATACAGAACTGGAATGTGATCCGAAACATCTGCACGTGAACAGTTGATCACTTTGTAGGTGATCATCAAATTGATTAGTAAATTTATTCCGGGAAGGCAAGTAATTAGAGCAAAGAACATATTAGAATACATTTCATCCAGTCTGAAGTTTTTATATGTTTTGCACTGGTATTAGCTACTCTGGGCACTGTACCAAATGTTAATGTAGCCGTGATCTTGTTCACGCGTTTTGCGATTTCGAAGTGTGTTTTAATTCTCAACCATTTCTACGGGAATAAATAGATAGATAGATAGATAGATAGATAGATAGATAGATAGATAGATAGATAGATAGATAGATAGATAGATAGATAGATAGAAGATAAAAAGCTTTGACCTAAACAACCGAAGCTGATTTCGCAATTTAGGAGTGCGAATAGCAATCTAGAATAACGATGTTATAGACTATTTACCCTACTAAATACTATAAATACCGTATTCACTCGTTTAAACGCCGTGGGCTCTTTAAATTTTTAATGTCGAGCTTTTATGAGGGCGAGGTGCTTGTTCGAGGGCCGCGCTCTTTCTACATTGAATAATAATAATAATTTAATTCACCACTAACATCGTTTGCACACAGAGTACAATGACTACATGTACACACTAATTACAAACAAAATAATATTTGGCCAGGTGGTTGTGACTAATATATTTATATACAATAGTGTATATTTACTATACATGCAATAATACATTCATTGTTTCAACGTGAAGTATTCCGAATTACGTGAACACCGAACGCAGGCTCGCGATCGTGTTGCTCGCGTCATGTGAGCCGGCAACACGATCATTTTCTAAAAATTTTTTTATAAAAGGGAGAAAAATAAATAAAACTGAAAAATAATATTGTCTACGTACGGGCATTTCTCTTTTCTTCATCTTGTTCTTCGTCATTTTCAGTTTCTTCTGTCAATTTAAAAAACAAATTTTCATTTAAACTATTAACTTAAAAATTAGAATAAAATTTTAAAATGCGCTATAAAACAAAGAACAATTTGACCATTTATGTGCAACACTCATTGAAATGAATATAACTGGAACGGCAGAACGCTACCTTCAATCGGAAATTTGAAGTCAAATTTGAAGGCCAGTCCCAGTCTTTTCACGCATGCGAAGAGCGCTCAATCAGTCAATCATGATATAAACACGTGGGTCTTGCCCCCGATTTGGCTTCAAGAAAAAGATAGGCAGCTTATCTGAAGGAAGCGTTCCAGTTATGTTCATTTCAATGCCAACACTAAGTGACTGACTGTTGCATGTATATTTATTATAATGCGTTAATATATCTTTATATATACGTCAAAAATATTAACATGTGCTGGAGATTCTCTTATATAAAGCAATAACCATGCATATCGGTGAGAGTTCGAAACTATTCCTCAAAATCCTTAGCTTTGTTGCCAAGGCAAATTTTTCCCAGAATCTGGAGATCTCAGGAAGTGTAATCTTAATTTCACCACAGAAAATTAAAATAAAAACAATCACCTTCATCATCCTCAATCAGTTCATCTTCGGCGATCTCCTCTTCAGCTGTCACAGCTAGAATACAATGAAGATAATTAATATCGATTATTTTCCATGTAATGAAATAAGATCTAAGATAATATATGCAGTTTAAATGCTATACAACGATGTTTTCTTGCAGTTCGCAGGACATGAGTTATTCTGATTCAAGAGTTTCCACGAGTTATGATTCATGGAACGAGTACAACAAAAAGCGATCCTGCGAGAAAGCCTACTGAAAACTAGAACAATGTCACGATTCATGGCATGAAACACTAGAGATTGTAGTGACTTACCATAAGTACATGCCAATCCCAACAGTAAAAAAGCAAGTAAAGTAGCCGTCTTCATTGTTCTTGAAAAATGCTCAATCTTCAGCTTGATGTTTGCAATGAAAAATTTGACTGTGAAAATCTTTCTGTCATGCACTGTCCCTTTTATACACTTTCACATCCTTGCATTCTTTCCATTAGGAAAACGTTTCCATGATTTGTTTGCAGACGAAAGTACTTTCAAGTGTGGAAATGTATTGGATGAGTAGAAAAAAAAACCGTTGAAACTCCTTATGCTTAGAAGGTCGGGTTGCCACTTGCTAAATATATACAGTGACAATATCCATAATAGATGTCTCATTCATGAGAAGCTGTATACAAGATGCAACCCACGTTCGAAAACAATTGATGATTCCCTTTATTACGTTTTTCTAGCGCTTTGCATTGTTGTTATAGTGGTATCACTGATAAAGATAGTGGCTTCGAATGAACATATTGAATGTGTTGGCTATCGTGCACCTGACCCTAGCTTTTTTAAAAGTTCTTGCACGGGTCAGGACAGAAAATAAGCCACATCTTGAATATCAGTGATACCACTATAACCACAATGCAAAGCGCTACGGAAACGTAATCATCTATTGCTATAAATTCAGATCGGATATTCAATAGTTTTCTTTTCTCTTTCCAATGGCAATGATATAGTTCATTTGTGTCGAGAATATTTTCCTTTGTATTTATTTTGGTTATGGAAAAATATATATATAGTGGTTTTGCAGTTTTTAGTTGATAAATATTATGTATTACCATTAGGCACTAACGTGTAATATAATTATTCCATAAAAATATTTCAGGCTATTTAGAAATATTTCAGGCTAGACTAAATTCAAATTATGAATTTTCAAATCATAATTTATTATTATAAATTAAGAAACCGTCGAAGTGTCTGCATAATATAGGCAAGATCAACATAATCATCGCAAGTATTTAAAATTTCCAGCAACATTCGCTTACAATTCTTTTTAAATGTTGATTTACTCAAATTACGAATTGATAGAGGTAAACAGTTCCAAATTTTCACGCCCATTGTTGATAGTGATTTTGAAGTTATATTAAATCTAGCTCTGGGTTGATACAAATTTTTACGAGCTGCCGCTCTTGTGTTATAACTGTGTACATCACAAACATTCGTAAATAAGGTAGTAATATATAAGGGAGATTTTCTTTTAACAATATCATGCATAAAGCATGCGGTATTGTAAAAATAAAGAAAACTCATTGGCAATATTTTGAAATCGTAAAATAAAGGTATTGCATGGTCTTGATAAATGATGGTTGTCCAATACTGTCGAACGTATACGGATCGTAAAGATGGTGAAACATTGAACACAATCCGTACGAACTGTAAAATGGCTTTACGGATCGTACGGTCCGTATGGTTCGTGAATATGATTTACGGATCGTGAACATGCTTTGTCGATGGTGATGTGGTGTTTAAGTCAGGCCAGAAAAGTTGTCGATCCGTACGGATCGTACGGTCCGTACGAACTGTAAAATGGCTTTACGGATCGTACGGTCCGTACGGTTCGTGAATATGATTTACGGACCGTGAACATGCTTTGTCGATGGTGATGTGGTGTGTAAGTCAGGCCAGAAAAGTTTGTCGATCCGTACGGATCGTACGGTCCGTACGAACTGTAAAATAGCTTTACGGATCGTACGGTCCGTACGGTTCGTGAATATGATTTACGGATCGTGAACATGCCTTGTCGATGGTGATGTTGTGTGTAAGTCAGGAAAGCATCCATGATCAAAAGAGACCAGCTCCACAGTCTTTTCAGGAAAACACGTGATCATTATGATTGGCTTAATTTCAGAGAGGCCCGCAATTTTACAAAAACCGCACTTGTTAATGCACAGAAAGAATATGTACTGAAGGAAGTTCAGCAACACAGAAACAATACTGGGTCACTTTGGAAGGTAATTAAAGAAAATATAGCGTATAGGGAAAGAGAGTCGGTGGTCTACAGTAAGGAACCGAAATTAGTGGCCGAAGAGTTTAATCATTTCTTTTCCACCATTGGTGTGAATGCAGCAAAGAAAGCCTCAACACTAATACAAGATCCTAGTGTTTATCCAGCTCGGAATCTTTCTGACGTAATTCGCACAGATAACAGCTACCCTGAAGAAAATGATAGATTTAGTTTCACCCCAGTCTCTTGTTCAGAAATAAGGAACATCATATTAGCTATGCCGTCAAACAAATCACCCGGCAAAGACAAAGTGAGTATGCGTGTCATCAAACACAGCCTACCGGTAATTCTTGGGCCCCTCACCGATATCATTAACTGTTCACTGTCGTCATCTCTTCGTTCCCTATAGCATGGAAAGAGGCAGAAGTTATCCCTTTGTTAAAGGATGGAAACCACGAGGAAGCATCAAATAACCGCCCACTTTCTCTCCTTACCTTTCTTTCGAAAATTTGTGAAAAAGTCGCCTTGAAACAATTTGGTTCGTATCTAATGAAGAACAAAAAATTGTCAACCCACCACCAGAGCGGGAACAAGAAACATCACTCATGCGAAACATTGAATCTTTTGACCGGAGATACTATCCTAAAGGCCATGGATGGGAAATTGGTTACTGCACTGATTCTAATAGATCTATCTAAAGCTTTCGACAGTGTAAATCATACCTTTCTCCTTACAAAACTTAGCAACGTCGGGGCTTCTCCAAGCGTTGTAAAATGGTTTGAGAGTTACTTGACCGGAAGAACTCAATCAGTCAGAATTGGATCTACTGTGTCTACTCCTCTCCCTGTTTTTTATGGTGTACCACAGGGTGCAATTTTATCACCTTTACTTTTTAGTATTTATACTAACAATTTGCCCTCATCAGTCCACCATAGTAAACTTGAATCGTACGTGGACGACTCCAAGATATTACTATCTTTCACTGTGGCTAACGTGGACTGTTTAAAGCAACAACTTGAGGAAGACTTGTATTTGATTGCAAACAGTTGTTCCGAAAATGAATTGCTCATTAACCCGGGAAAGACCAAATACATGCTGATTGGCACACGGCAAAACCTACAACAACTTCCCGTAGATATGACCATAAACTTCCTCAACGAGACTATTACCCCCGTCTCCTTTGCCAAAGATCTGGGAATGACAATCGACTCTTATTTGACATATGACCAGCATATCACCAACCTGGTTTCCTCATGTATGAATTCCCTGTGCCAAATAAACCGAGTCAAAAAATGTTTCGATAAAGAAGCTTTAACTCTCATCGTCTCGGCACTTGTAATGAACAAAATGTTCTATTGTTCAACGGTTTGGTCAAACACTTCGTCTACCAACATTAAGAAACTACAGTTGGTACAAAATTTTGCATGCAGGATAATAACAAATATTGGAAAGTTCGACCATATTTCGCCGGGCTTACGTGAACTTAACTGGCTCCTAGTAAAGGAACAATTACTACTAAGAGAGGCTATTATGATGTACAAATGTGTCAATGAACTTGCTCCACATTATTTGAGCGATTTATTCACAAAACGTTCTGACATTCATCAACGAGATACACGTAGCCATGACTCACTGCAAATACCATTGTACAAAACTTCTGCAGGTCAAAGGTCCTTTCATGATAGAGGCGTTACACTCTGGAATGATTTGGACATAAAGTACAAAAAGTTAGACTCCCTAAAAACTTTCAAAAACGAACTGAAGCGAAGCATGCTAGAACAAATATATAAGTAGATAATTTTACCTTGTTAAACTTTATACAAATGTCTTACCTTTTTACTTTAATTTAAATTCTAGATTTTAAAACTTGTAAATAGAACAACATTTATTTTTTGTAAATCAGTGTTGAAAATCCCTGTTTAGGGAACACAATAAAGTATGTATGTATGTATGTATGTATGTACGGTCCGTACGAACTGTAAAATGGCTTTACGGATCGTACGGTCCGTACGGTTCGTGAATTTGATTTACGGATCGTGAACATGCTTTGTCGATGGTGATGTGGTGTCTAAGTCAGGCCAGAAAAGTTTGTCGATCCGTACGGATCGTACGGTCCGTACGAACTGTAAAATGGCTTTACGGATCGTACGGTCCGTGAATATGATTTACGGACCGTGAACATGCTTTGTCGATGGTGATGTTATGTGTAAGTCAGGCCAGAAAAGTTTGTCGATCCGTACGGATCGTACGGTCCGTACGAACTGTAAAATGGCTTTACGGATCGTACGGTCCGTACGGTTCGTGAATTTGATTTATGGATCGTGAGCATGCTTTGTCGATGGTGATGTGGTGTCTAAGTCAGGCCAGAAAAGTTTGTCGATCCGTACGTTTTCCGCTAAGGGTGGTTATGAATAGAAGGAAGCGAAAAGAAAGGCAGCGTTGACAGCGCTGTGCCGACAAACCTATTGTGTCATCGGAATTGGGAAAAATATTTGTGTGTAAATATTACCTGATATACTAGCTACAGTGTGTGTGAAAAAAACGCAATCCAACTTTAGCAGGAATTTGTGCCTTTATTAATTAGTGGCTGTAAAAGCAAGTATGGGTGAAAAGTTTCCACGCACAAAAAGTTTTTGCAGCATAATTTTTCCTAAGGCTAAGGGTGGTTATGAATAGAAGGAAGTGAAAAGAAAGGTAGTGTTGGCAGCGCTGTGCGGACAAAGCTATTGTGTCATCGGAATTGGGAAAAATATTTGTGTATAAATATTACCTGATATACTAGCTACAGTGTGTGTAAAAAAACGCAATCCAAATTTAGCATGAATTTATGCCTTTATTAATTACTATAGTGGGTGTATGAACGTAATTTTTCATTAGGCGTGGTGGTGTTTTTCATCATCAGGCATTATGTCCCAACAGTATATTGAAATAAAGTATTGTTAGAATTTGAATGCCCTATATAATTGCTATAAAGGCCGTTTTCCTCTAGGTCCAATTTTTTAAACAGTTCTTTATGCTGATACAATCTATATGTCATAGTTTTATGCACTTGTTTCTGGGTACGTTCAGCAGATGGCCGGAGTGCTGACACTGGTGAAACATTCAAATTATAACAGAACGTTATTTAAATGAAATTTTGATTTTTTTTGGCACATCCTGTACAGGGTGTATAAAAAACTAGGTAATCGTAATCGAACTTCAGTTGCGTATGAAGGAGATTTTTCGTATTCGGAAAGATCACGCTTGTAGGTGTTGAACGATGTGTTCTTAATGCCAAAGGATAAAAATTAAGTGTGGAGGTACTAAACTCCCTAATGATCGGAAGACAAACACTGTGTGAAACGTTTTTCTGTAAAATATGAACTGAAAGTAACCGTAAACTCCACGCACAGCTTCCGCGAAAACACCAAGCGAAATATAATTTAATTTAATTTAACACACAAAACGCGTCTATGATATTCCAATGCATGACCATAACACTACCGCTTTAGAATGGCATTTTTATACTATCCATGATAGGCTATACTATAATAATTGAGTAGACTAACATATTTAATATTTAAAGTTATATACTATTGTAAAAATGTACGTAATTCAGGCAGGGTTGCTGGAAAGTGACTTTTAATAAATATCTATCTAAGTATAGGAGAAAAAATGTTAGTCGGAATCGCATATTCTCACCTATGACTGTGTTCCTTATTAAAGCAGTGCATATACTAGAAAAAGCAATTAATCAGGAAGGTGTCATAGCTTAGCTGAGATTTCATAATAATTACTGTATGCATATGCGGGTAGTGTATTGAACTATTGAAGTGAAATTCATCAACTTAAGGTGGCTCAATACACTTTTTAGCCAAAGGAGCAAAAGTTGAATATTTTCTGTTTAAATGCTTTTACAGGGTTAAGTTTTACTTATAATTGTAACACATAGTAAGACGTGTCGCAAACAAGAAGAATTCTGATAAAAGTCGCGTTTCCATGACAACTATAACGAATACTGGCAACACTAAATAGCCGAAAATATCGCAGTTTTTCGAGTTTTTTTAAAAAATGAGTTCGGTGACCCCAACTTTTTTTTAATAAATCAGTTACGTTAGTGTCGAGAAACATTTCTGGGAAGTTTAAAAAAAATCTGTCGACTCAATTCTTTAGAATTAAATTTCGACTTTTTTGACAGTTTCTGTCGACAATTTTTTTTTATTTTTCCATCATGAAATCTTGAAGCATGTATCTACTCATGTACAAATTTTCAGGGTACCTTACCGAACTCGTTTTGGAAATAATCACGGTTTTATTCCGCGCAGCCAAAGTTTGTCACACTCTGCAAGATCAATGAATTGACATGCGCGTACATGTTTTCGCAGGCGCATCTCCAGAAAAACACGCACAAAAAAGTTTTTAGTCTCGTCGAAATATCAAATATATATTGTGTTTTCTTGCTTAGAAATGCAAATATATTTGGTTTTTCATGCTAACTCGGGATAACGCCAAGAAAACAGGTGATTGTCGGTCGTTTGGTATAAGATATGTGTGACATGTATGAACTTTTTGGCTTTTCTACATAGTTTTATATTCGTTTTCAGTCGTAACTTGTGTGTTTTCATGTTGTTGTTGACAAGTTAAAACAGTTTGAACCGGCGCACGATGCTGTTTCACTGAATTCCTTTGCTGTTAGTAACACTTTGAATACATTTACCAGTTGTAAGTACAAAAAAACTCTGGATATGAACTTATAAATCGCCAAATATTGGAGTAAAAACTTTTCGCCGGTCCGGGGCCGATCGCCAGTTTTCACAAGAGTTTGAAAGTTGAACATTGCATTTTTTTACCTTAAAATGTCTTCTAAAAAGACTAGTTATTCAATGTTCAGAGCTAAATCAGGACGAAGTTTGTTCTTTGAGAACAAATGAGAACAAGGAAGACTCAAAACATCAAAATAAACATGACTTGTGGTTCGGATTTTATACTGAAAAAGTTGTATTTATTTTTGCATATATTTTTAACATTTTCGCGCGAGAACTGAAGATTAGGTACCAGTCCCCCAATGATGAAAAGTGTATGGAGCCGCCTTAAGTCCCAAGAGGAGCTAATTTTCAATAGTTTTAGACGCAACTCTCAACGGTAAACTAAAAATATGCGATTCCGCGAGGCCGCGGCCAGTGGGAGCGATAATTAGTTTTCTGCATTACAAATAATTTTGTAATAGTTGACCTGCATCTAAGGCGGAAAGCGGACTTATATTCATTTGTGCAATGTTCTTTCGTCAAAATTCAAGATCTGATTGGTTATGTTAGTGAATATATGATGCGACCTAAAACAACCTATAAAGCAAGTTATGTATGCAGATTATTTGTTATGATATGGATGAAAATAAAATTATTGCTTGCCTCTGCAAATTCCAATTCCCGGGCCGATATTATAGGTGCATATACAGAAAGCGAGTATATCTAGCTGGAGTATATAGTAAATATGTGATAACTTGAAACAGCATTGTGTTTTGCTCAGGGACACCTTCATTGAAATACCTGTATATATATGTAATCTTCACAGTACTGCATCTAAAATAATTGATATGTCATGCTTCGTTCTTTAAAAGCATTGCGTAAATTGAATAACTGGAAATATTATATATAAATAAACTTTCACATTTTAAAAACATTGCGTGAACTGAACTGAACTGAACTGAACTGAACTGAACTGAACTGAACTGAACTGAACTGAACTGAACTGAACTGAACTGAACTGAACTGAACTATACTAACATACTATAATCTTCACAGTAGTGGTCTATAACTATAATAATTCATATATCATGCTTCGTTCTTTAAAACTGCATTGTGTAAATTGAATAACTAGAAATATATATTATATATAACTTTCATGCATTTGATTGCGTTAACTTAACTGAACGGAACTACCAGGCCCGGAGCTACGGGGGGGGACTGCTATTCAGTCGGTAGGACTGCTATTCAGTCGGTAGAACTGCTATTTGGGTTAAATATTTTTGGCGCAAAGGGCAAGAACGTGGTGGGAATTTTAGGAAAATTTTTAGGAAAAATGTGAAAATTTTGGAAAAATGTAAAAAAAGTTGAAAATTTGTGATGTGTGGAAATTTTTGAATGTTCCGGAAAATTTTTGTACGTCCGGAAAATTTTTTGGACCCCTAAAATGGTATACTGACCGAAATTGGCGGGGGGGGGGGTGGTCGACAAAAAATTTCTGATCCGGAAAATTTTTTTTTGAACCAGTCGGTTGAGTGACCTTATTACACCCCCCTGAAGAATTTCCTGAGCGGCCCTGGGAACTACAGAGCCGCATCTATAATCATTCATGTATCATGCTTCATTTTTTAAAAGCAAAAACATTGCCATTGACATTGCGCGAACTGAATAGTGAAGTCTTGCAACTTCTACTGAATAGAAACTTAAGATAGAAGAAATAGTCACAAAGTGTCAAAGGAGACTATATTATATAAAATATAATAATTTAATATTAATTTAAACTGCTTGCAAACTTTAACTAAAAGACCTTCAAAGGTATACAGGGTGTATCAAAAAAAGCGCAATCTTCGACTGAAATGTAAATTGCTAAACAAATAATAGACGAAAACGTTAAAGTTTACATTCATTTTAAAGCGTAGCCATTCAGCTTTCTAACAGTGGGTTGTTTCTTAAATTTGACTCATTGGTTCGCGGATAATAATACCTTAAGTTATTGCGATTGAAGATTAAAAAAATTGAGATGGAATAACAAATCGTTCTCATGAAAATAACTGATTTTTTCATTAAAACAAAAAAATGTTGCATTTTATTAAATGGATTGTAACAATAAATATAATTACGGCTTTTCTTCCACTATTTTTAACTCAGTTTGAAACTTCAAATGCGATATAATTTTGGCTTGGACCATCTAAGCTGACTGTCATCAACTTGCTATAATTTCTGTTTACATTACATCGCAATTCGATGACACTCTGACTCAGACACCAGAATGTTTTCACGATTTTTAGCATTCGTTTAGGATTTTCAAACAACCTGGTCTCTTTTAAAATACTTTTAATTTGTTCTTACGTGGTTTTCCAGATGTAGTGACGACAACATTAAAGTTTAAAGAAGAAAATTCTAACATTTAAACCGACTAAACAATAACATAGTAAACTTGCATAATTAAACAGCAACTAAAAATGATAGGTTTTACTAAATCTTTTCCTGTGCAATTATTCCTAGCATTGGAGACAAGGATAATAGTTTGTTTGAAAGAGAAAAGAACAGGCTTTGAAGTAAGCCTAAAAGCGTTTAACTAGAGATAGTATTTCGAAAGTTATTAAGCACAAAAGATGAATTGCGTTTATTTTGATACACCCTGTAGTTCACAAAGATTATATGGTTCAAATTAGTTTAATGCATGCATGCATCAGTTTGAACTAGATCCTTTTACTCTTTCAGATCGATCCATATACAAAAACTTTTTGAAATGTAAATCAAAATAAAACCATCTTCTTCTCTCATGTTTAGTAATGTTCGCTATAATCCAATTTACTTGTTCCCATCGTTTGACTGTTTTATTTTTATCCCAAAATGTTGAAGACACAATCCAATCTTTTATCATTATTGGCGGACAGCCATTGCCCATCAGGAACAGCACTAACTTAAATGTTTCTTCATCACCAATTGGTTTCTTCCAAAACGCACTTCTCATATCATTTGGCCACACCGACGGTGGGTAAAACATATCGCCATCAACACTTCTGAACAAAGCTCGTATTCTCTCTGATATTTGTCTTTTTGATAAAGTTATGACGAAGTTTCCCTTACCATAGCAAAAGTATGGGAAAGATATGGCAAAGTTTGGGCCATATATGACCCATATGTGGGCATGATATGGGACAGTATAGATATCATGTGGGATTGGTATGGTGTCTAAATTTGTTAAATATTGAGATATGGAAAAGCTATGGAAACAAACACATTGCTATTAATCCTATGGGAAATCTGTAGGGTTACTTGGTCCATAGGTAATCCATATCAATGGCATGCTTTTACATATAACCAATTCTACGGGAATTATATGGTAGTCCACACTTGGTTGTCCCATATACTTCCCATACCTATGGGAATTATATGGTAGTCCACACTGGGTTGTCCCATATAATTCCCATATATGGGAATTATATGGTAGTCCATACTTGGTTGTGCCATATACTTCCCATATCTATGGGAATTACATGGTAGTCCATACTTGGTTTGGTTCTGGCCTCCCATAGAGAATCCATACATATGATTTCTATGGCAATGCCATGCCAACGCTTACGAAAATTTCCTATAGGAATTCCTATAAAAATGAAATTCCTATAGGATTTGAAAATTCCTATAAAAATTCATATAAGATTTGAAAATGGTGAAAAAATTCCTTTAGGAAAACGAAATTCCTATATATATATACATATAGGAAATAAAAATTCCTATAAGAATTCCTATAGGATTGGAAAATAAATTTATTCTAACATTAATTAAATGAATAATTACCGCAATGTGCGCGACCAACAGACTGGTGTCTAGTTTTTTGCCACGCACACAAAGCATCTTGGGATAGGTCATCACACCTCCGATATTTTATAAATTTTTTGTTTGTGAATGCTTTATATGTTCAAAATAGAACTATTTTTGATGAGATTCAACTGGATTTTCACTAGTAATACATCAGCGATGTTTGTATAATGTTCAGGTGAGCATATGTTTATATTTTGTTTATAATAAAGCAAATTATAAAGGAATACCTAGTCCAATCTTCATTCGTGAAATTCGATCATGTATTTCGATCGGTTTAAAATTTGAATTTGCCGCGACAATAATGGTTAAAATGCTGATATAAATATATTTATCTGTCATTTATACTTCAATAAATGCTACTATAAGAGTTTTATATTTGAATTATAGACTTATCAATGTTTATTGGTTAATATATTTGTATATCCTAACTGTATATGCAAGATTAATTGCAGACATTAAGCATGCCTATACATATAGACTATATAGTACTATATGCTCATATTACATATAGTTTGAAAATTTATCTACTTGCTCAAATCAGCAGCAACCTTCCTAAGATTCTGATATCTATTCATATGTTATTGTTCAAATTAAAATTGATATTTCATTGGGAGAGGTGTAATTGTACCAGTCAATATGAATTAAAATATGTTAGCCTTAGTGTAATGCCAGGAAAATTCTCCATATTTTTTTTATGAAATTATTAACATTTAACTATGTGATGGTTATTCAAGTTAACGAGACTCTCTACTTACATTTCACGCTAATTCGTTAGGATGAATATGCTCAACTTTCAGTACTTTTTATTTTACTTTGTCTAACACCAGATCAAATATTTTACTTGTGAAAGAGAGTGGACAACTTTGATAGGTTATTTTGCTGTCCCCCTGTGTTATGTGTAAACTCATTAAGACCCAATTCACACTAATCTGTTCTATTTCATAGCTCAATATTTTGGCCTGTCTAACACCAGACTATTTTGCATTGTTTGTTGTTAACACATTTAGATGCAATTCATCCTAACACTCCCCACTTTCAGTACTTTGATAGTTAATTATCAGATGATTTTACTCATCAAGATGAGTGTTGGTTATTGAAAGGTTAATAATTAACTGCAAAAGGCTGCTGTGTTTGCATATTTAGAAGCAATGTGCCCTACTTTTAGTACTTTGTTATTTTATTAAATATTTATTCCATTAATGTGCCAGACTCTCCACTTAACAAATAAAATTGTCTGTCATTACACATATAGTAAAACATAATGATTTGACAGAGTAAAGTTGTCTTCCGTTAGACAGAGTAAAATAATAAATTTGGTGCAAAAATGCTTGATGGAAATTTGGCTGCAGAATATAGGGTATAAATTTTTTGTCAGTATAATCATTTTTGTCAATCTTGACATTTGAATTATTTTGTCCTGCAGATGATAGAAGTTGTAGAAGGATGTGGCATGTTCTGGAATTGCCACCAGTGGGCATGTTGCTCTGCAAGATTTTCTAATGAAGGCCCTACACCAAGTCAAGTGATACAAAAAATAAACATGAAAAGTGTAGAAGCCAGGCGTCCACAAAGAGTTTGAATAGTCTGTAGTCAAGCCCACAAGTTGAGAGGAATGAGGACATTATAGATACCGATACATTGATATTTAACAATTATTCGCCGAAGGCGAGGTGATTATCGGTGAATATAAAAACCGAGACGAAGTCGAGGTTTTTATTCACGATAATCACCGAGCCTGAGGTGAATAATTGTTTTAGTATAATTTCATAGGTGATTATTTGGAAACAAATTTTAAAATGCACATTTCTTCGTCATTTAATTGACAAAACGGCTTCGACCGCCATTTTGAAAATCGCTTAGGTGATTATCGCGTAATAATCACCTCAACGGCAACCAATCAGCGTGGAGAATTTTCAATAATCACCTATGTAATTATACTAAAGAACAATAAGCACTTAGCAATTGACATTATTGCATGTTTGTATATATATATAGTTATACCATGGTAATTTAGTTAGACAAACTTTGCAAGTTCATCATATTAAGAAATAGTAAATTAGTTAGCAATTTTGTAATTTGTTTATTTATTGACTATGTAATTTATTTGTGTATTGTGTTTTTGAAGATTTTTTGCATGTTAATAAAACTATGTATGCCACCAGTAGAATTTTCTTGAGCTGTAACAAGTATATTTGGAATGGTATGGCCACTTGTTTTCATCCCATACCAAACCCACATGTGTTAGCATCTAGCATTTGGATGTTAGATGTTAACATGGGTTTGGTATGGGATGAAAACAAGTGCCCATACCATTCCCAATATAATATGATAATTGTTGCACCCATACCATTCCCATAGTTTATACATCAAGAACCATATGAATTCCATATCATGTTCCCAGATCATTCCCATATAGAATCTTATCTTACCCATAGCAAAGTTGTTATGAATGATATAAGGAACCCATGTATTTCCCATAGTAAGTCATATGGGATATGTATGGATTTGTACCAAATACGTATCAAACACATATCAAAAACATGATATGGGTATGCTATGAAAGCAAGCAGACCATACCAAAGCCATATACCTCCCATATATGGCCCATAGGTTGAACCATACCAATCCCATAGTTGGTCCATATATGTCCCATATAATTTGGTTTTGTAAGGGTTGTTGCTTCACACATATTGCTGATGTAAAACTAGTACTTGCGAGAATCAGTTAAATTACATAAATACGTGCATGCTATTTGATTACTTTTTTAACTTGCTTCAAGTTTCATATTCTGTTTTTTTATACAGACCCGCGTATGCCGAACAGTAACACTTTCGCCCATTGTTTTCTTTGCAAAGCAAAGAATTACGCGTTTTAAGATATCAGGATATATTTTGCATAATAAAACCTGGCTCAAAATTTTTAATTAATGTAATAATGGGGAAAATTTTGACAAAATGTTTTATATAAAATTGCGTTTATTAACATTTATTTGTAACATTGTTTACAGTTTCCAAGCATGCAGACGAGTTTATAAAGTCCACTAAGCCGCGGTATTGCAGAATATACGTACTCCACCACTTGGTCTATATGGCTAACGTAGAATATGCAATACTGACCACATACATCTGACTCTTTACGTCATTAATATATTGCGTTGTTCTTAAGAACGGAGCGACAACATATTATATATATTGCGTTGTTCTTAAGAACGGAGCGACAACATATATTATATTAATATATTGCGTGGTTTCTAAAGAACGGAGCAACAATATATTATATTGATATATTGCGTGGTTTCTAAAGAACGGGGCAACGATATATTATATTGATATATTGCGTGGTTTCTAAAGAACGGAGCGACAACATATTATATTGATATATTGCGTTGTTCTTAAGAACGGAGCGACAACATATTATATTGATATATTGCGTTGTTCTTAAGAACGGAGCGACAACATATATTATATTAATATATTGCGTGGTTTCTAAAGAACGGAGCAACAATATATTATATTTATATATTGCGTGGTTCCTAAAGAACGGGGCAACGATATATTATATTGATATATTGCGTGGTTTCTAAAGAACAGAGCGACAACATATTATGTTGATATATTGCGTTGTTCTTAAGAACGAAGCGATAACATATTATATTGATATATTGCGTTGTTCTTAAGAACGGAGCGAAAACATATATTATATTGATATATTGCGTGGTTTCTAAAGAACGGAGCAACAATATATTATATTGATATATTGCGTGGTTTCTAAAGAACGGGGCAACGATATATTATATTGATATATTGCGTGGTTTCTAAAGAACGGAGCGACAACATATTATATTGATATATTGCGTTGTTCTTAAGAACGGAGCGACAACATATTATATTGATATATTGCGTTGTTCTTAAGAACGGAGCGACAACATATATTATATTAATATATTGCGTGGTTTCTAAAGAACGGAGCAACAATATATTATATTTATATATTGCGTGGTTCCTAAAGAACGGGGCAACGATATATTATATTGATATATTGCGTGGTTTCTAAAGAACAGAGCGACAACATATTATATTGATATATTGCGTTGTTCTTAAGAACGGAGCGACAACATATATTATATTAATATATTGCGTGGTTTCTAAAGAACGGAGCAACAATATATTATATTTATATATTGCGTGGTTCCTAAAGAACGGGGCAACGATATATTATATTGATATATTGCGTGGTTTCTAAAGAACAGAGCGACAACATATTATGTTGATATATTGCGTTGTTCTTAAGAACGAAGCGATAACATATTATATTGATATATTGCGTTGTTCTTAAGAACGGAGCGAAAACATATATTATATTGATATATTGCGTGGTTTCTAAAGAACGGAGCAACAATATATTATATTTATATATTGCGTGGTTCCTAAAGAACGGGGCAACGATATATTATATTGATATATTGCGTGGTTTCTAAAGAACAGAGCGACAACATATTATATTGATATATTGCGTTGTTCTTAAGAACGAAGCGATAACATATTATATTGATATATTGCGTTGTTCTTAAGAACGGAGCGAAAACATATATTATATTGATATATTGCGTGGTTTCTAAAGAACGGAGCAACAATATATTATATTGATATATTGCGTGGTTTCTAAAGAACGGGGCAACGATAAATTATATTGATATATTGCGTGGTTTCTAAAGAACGGAGCGACAACATATATTATATTGATATATTGCGTTGTTCTTAAGAACGGAGCGACAACATATATTATATTGATATATTGCGTGGTTTCTAAAGAACGGAGCAACAATATATTATATTGATATATTGCGTGTTTCCTTAAGAACGGAGCAACAATATATTATATTGATATATTGCGTGATATATTATATTGATATATTGCGTGGTTCCTTAAGAACGGAGCAAGAGCAACAATATATTATATTGATATATTGCGTGGTTCCTTAAGAACGGAGCAACAATATATTATATTGATATATTGCGTGGTTCCTTAAGAACGGAGCAACAATATATTATATTGATATATTGCGTGGTTCCTTAAGAACGGAGCAACAATATATTATATTGACATGAGTATTGCGTGCTTCTTTAAGAACGGAGCAACAATGATTATATTCATATATTGCATATTATACTGATAAATTGCGTGGTTTCTAAAGAACGGAGCAACAATATATTATGTTGATATATTGCATATTATATTGATAAATTGCGTGGTTTCTAAAGAACGAAGCAATTATATTGAACGGAGCGATTATATTGATATATTGCGTGGTTTCCTATTTTAGGTCAACCTGTAAATCATTCATTTTCACGAACCTATTGATATATTGCGTGGTTCCTTAAGAACGGAGCAACAATATATTATTATATTGATATATTGCGTGGTTGCTTAAGAATGGAGCAACAATATATTATATTGATATATTGCGTGGTTCCTTAAGAACGGAGCAACAATATATTATATTGATATATTGCGTGGTTCCTTAAGAACGGAGCAACAATATATTATATTGATATATTGCGTGGTTCCTTAAGAACGGAGCAACAATATATTATATTGACAGTATTGCGTGGTTCTTTAAGAACGGAGCAACAATATATTATATTCATATATTGCATATTATATTGATAAATTTCGTGGTTTCTAAAGCACGGAGCAACAATATATTATATTGATATATTGCATATTATATTGATAAATTGCGTGGTTTCTAAAGAACGGAGCAACAATATATTATATTGATATATTGCGTGGTTTCCTATTTTAGGTCGACCTGTAAATCATTCATTTTCACGAACCGTATACGCTTCGTATGGTCCGTAAAGCCATTTCACGGACCGTACGGATTCTTCGGATCGTGAATCGTTTTACGAGCAGTACGAACGGTGTCACAGGAGATTCGCCCCCCCAGGAGATTCGCCCCCCCTCTCAAAAGGGGGGCGGTATTCCTAGGATATTCGCCCCCCCCCCGGGGCGAATCTCCTAGGAATATCGCCCCCCTGGGGGGCGAATCTCCTAGGAATATCGCCCCCCTTTAGGAATTTCGCCCCCCCCCATATAAATTTTGAATTTTTGATCTAAGAACAAAACGATTGCAAGTTGAAAAGATTTATTGTGTGATTTATTTATTTATTACAAGGAGACAAAATCACATACACATTTTAAGCTTCTTAGCAGCTGGTGGTGTGCACAGTCTGCATAATCACTCATTTGAGGTACTTAGACTAGTGTCATATTCTACACATCTAAAGTGGAACCATTGCCCACAGAGATCGCATAAAATCACGTTGTCGTATTCTTCTGGCAGTTACATTCACATAAGTTGACATAACATATTATAAAAACAATCGCTTGCAAATTTTATCAATACCAGTGTTAACAATAGCCGCCACATTAATCACTTGCTAACAATAAACTATAGGATTAATAAAAAATCTATGGAATTTGTTGGGAAGCGTATTGACTATTGTCCATTGAATCGTCAACTTTCCATGTCAGTGTCAGTGATGTAATCTTGATTTTTAACTTCCGCAAAGAAAATTGCATTATATATATGTGGTGTGGTTTATTCAAATAATTTCATGATACTTTGATTTTATTAGTGCCTTAAGCATTCGAGAATGTAACTCTGCAAAACTAAAAGCTTTTTTGTCTTTTTTGAAACGTATATTATTGGAGTATTGCTTATTGGCAAGTTCTACCCTTCGCTTCTGAAATTTACAAACTATATTGAAATAATGCAAGTAAAAAATAGTGACAACTTGTAAGCCATACATTTTCCGATAACGACAAAATGTGGATGCAAAACAATACCAATAATTACAATAACCACCACGGTGATTACTTTTTAACAATGAGTTTAAGGATTAACACTAAAAATGCAAAATATGCATGGTGTGCTGTGAAGCGTCATAAGTCTTAGTCTATTAACTGTGAACTGTGTAAGCCCTTTCGATACATGTAATTGTAAATTTGTATTCTTACAGGGCTTGAAATAACGTTCCCAAAGTTCTCGATCATGACTTTCCCTGATTTTTTCAGGTTGGAAACCGAAACTCTGCTTTTCCGCCGATCATAAGCAATTCCATGCCGATCATTGATCGATTGTTATTTCAAGCTCTGTCTTAACAATTTTGAATTGATACTGATTTCAAATGACTAAAGCCATGTAATAATTATCCCATATAACTGTTAGGAAGGGCGAAATTTTGAACGGAGGACAAAAATCCTAAAGAAAAGGTGAAGTTTCTAAAGGGGGGCGAATTTCCTAAAGGGGGGCGAATTTCCTAGGATTTTCGCCCCCCAGGGGGGGCGATATTCCTAGGAATTTCGCCCCCCGGGGGGCGAAATTGTAGGGGGGGCGAAAATCCTGGGACAACGGTACGATCCGTCGAACTGTTGGTAGATCTGGGCAACAAGCATCCACTATTGGAGACCACCTATTGCGTTTACGAGTTGATACGGATCGTGACTCGTGTTTACGGTCCGTACGAATTTGACGGATCGTGAAGCTGCTTCACGATCCGTATCATGTCGACAGTATTGGACATGTATGTGATAAATAGCAAAGTTCATTACAAGATTTACAAGATTTACAAGATTATACGAATAACCTTTTTTTGAAGAATTAGTAAACAATTTAATACTGATTTATTTGCTTGACCCCAAACAGAAATACCATATGTCAAGTATGGATTTATTAAACTTGAATAAATTCGTAATGTGTGCTTAGGAACAAAATATCTCAACGACTAATCTTGAGGGAAATATAATCAATTTGAGACTTCCACGTAAGATTAGAATCTATATAAGTATACCCAGATATTTAACGACATCTTTTCTTTCCAAAGTTAGAGTCTTTTTTTTCTGTTCGTCAAATATTTGAATATTTGGAACATGTTTAATCTCTTTTGTTTATTACAAAATATAACAAAATTTGATTTTTCAGTATTCAAGGTAAGTTTGTTGGCTCTTAACCACAGACATACATTATGTAACTCATGATTAACGACTTGCTCAAAGGTATGGATATTCAGTCTATGCGAATATAAAATACTTGTATCATCAGCAAATTGATAAAAATTTAGCTTTTCTGTCGAAACACAAATATCATTAATGTACAACAGAAATAATAAAGGCCCAAGAACAGAATCCTGTGGAACACCATACAAACAACTTTCCTCATTTGAATCAATATTTGCCATTGTAGTTACTTGAGTTCGTCCATTTAAATATGAACAAAACCAATCATAAGCCGTTCCCCAAATTCCATAATAATACAATTTAGACAATAAGATTTTGTGATCAACTGTATCAAATGCTTTCTTCAAATCAATAAAGATTCCACAGGTTATCTCTTTATTGTCCATATATTTATAGATTTTATTCACAATATCATGTATTGCATGCTTAGTTGAATGTTGCTTTCGAAAACCATATTGTGATGAAGACAACACATTATGTTTGTCCATAAACGATATCAATCATAACTTTCTCAAAAATTCGATTAAATATTGACAACAAAGATATAGTTTCATCACCAGATTTAAATACCGGAACAATTTTGGCAATTTTTAGCTTTGATGGAAATATACCATTCTGTATTTTTAGCTTTGATGGAAATATACCATTCTTATATTAAATGGATGGTTTATCAGGAAAAGCGGCTTAATCGAATATCTATATATACAATCATGCACCACGACCTTGACCATTCACTTGGCACTCAAAGACCTTGGTATAACATATGTCAATTCAGGAAGCCGGGTGGTTGCTAGCCTCCTGCGCAGACGTTGTTAGTGGCCCGAGGCCTCACCTAACGTCTGCTCACATTCGCTATACATTTGACTTCCCGGCAATTAACCAATCACAATCATCTACACGATAATTGGAAGATCGGCCTTCAATGACCTTCACACGCATGGGCTATATCAACAAGTCTGTAGTATTTTTAAATTTGAAAGTTTTAACACTGCGCATTAGAAAAAGGCTTTTCAGTCTATTATAAACGAAAAGGATGTTGTCGTAAATCTTACAACTGACGCAGGAAATCCCTTATTTATCACGCCGTTACCGAAGCTATTCGATGTAATATTCGGATTTAAATATTTAAACAAATTGTAAACATTGTAAACATTTAGTAATCGTGGTTTCGGTTGATAAATTCAATACGAGATCAAGTCAAAAAACTACACGATCTAGGAGTCAGTGCTGTGTCATTATTAAGTTGAATCGAGAGCGATAAAGAAGCGAAGGCATTGGAAGAATGGAAATATTCTGACTGTATTATATGCAGAGTCATTGTTGAAGACCGAACGATGGAAACGAATGCTTCAACAAATTGTACGTATAGCAAAATGGTTTGTGCTTTGGCTGTTGATGCATGAAGCTCATGCGATTAAAGAATGGTATGTATTATAATAAATCCTAAAAATGTGTTCGCTTTTGTAATTCCCAAAGACACAGGAATCGATCGGGCTTGGCCATTTTAATAGTCATTATTCATTAATATTTTATATTGTTTATTTAAATTGAATTTGTCTTTTTATACATTGCCTCGTATTATCTATTTGCATGTAGTACTAGCATGCAAGTTTATATGAGGGCAATTATGAAGGGTTTACATCAGAGGGTTGGGGCATGTATATTAACTAGAATGGCTCATAAACTTGCTGGTGCTACGTGCAATAGATAATACGAGACAACGTATAAATCAAGACAATATAAAATAACGACTATTAAAATGGTCAAAGCCGATCGATTGCTGTGGCTTTGAGAATTGCAAATGCAAACACATGTTTAGGATTTATTATAATACATACTGAAATGAGCTTCATGCATCAATAGCCAAAGGCAAAGCACAAACCGTTCTGCCATACACTTTGTCTTTGTCTTCAGCAATGACTCTGCTGTGCCATATAATACAGTCAGAATATTTCCCATCTTCCAATGTCTTCGCTTCTTTATCGCTCTCGATTAAACTTAATGACACAGCACCGACTCCTAGATCGTGTAATTTTTTTACTTGATCACGATCGTATTGAATTTATCAATGACGAAATCACGATTACTAAATGTTTACAATGTTTACAATTTGTTTAAATATTTAAATCCGAATATTACATCGAATAGCTTCGGTAACGGCGTGATAAATAAGTGATTTCCTGCGTCAGTTGTGAGATTTACGAAAACATCCTTTTCGTTTATAATAGACTGAAAAGCCTTTTTCTAATGCGCAGTGTTAAAACTTTCAAATTTAAAAATACTACAGACTTGTTGATATAGCCCATGCGTGTGAAGGTCATTGAAGGCCGATCTTCCAATTATCGTGTAGATGATTGTGATTGGTTAATTGCCGGGAAGTCAAATGTATAGCGAATGTGAGCAGACGTTAGGTGAGGCCTCGGGCCACTAACAACGTCTGCGCAGGAGGCTAGGTGGTTGCCAGAGGTACATAACACTCTAGTCTGCATGATTATATTTATTTGGTAATTCGCATCATCATCAGTGTAAATAATATTCTGAGTGACATACTGATCGCCACACTACAAGACAAAAACTTACTAATCTTGATAAATTATTCGTAATTTTTTGCAAAACTTACATATCTCTTGCATTTCGACTATAATCGTAAATATCTCTTGCTTTTACGGTTTTCTCCCCCCCCCCCTTTTTTGCCCAACATACGTATATAATTTGTAATTTGCCCATGGCAACGTTAATGTTTTAGGGGGCAGCAACCACATCTCCCGCCCTTGCCGCCACTCCTCGTATATATTATTGAAAAATACAAGCAGAACTCCGACGTCTTCAACTTCAACTTCGCGAAGAAGGGATTTCGCTCAAAACGTCGTCTGCTAGTGTATTTTCAGGTAGGTGCATCCTGGCCCTATCAATCCGTAGCTTTCTTCTTATTGTCACTATACCTACACTGGCACAGACCGTTCGTGAGTTTATAGTGGACGTGTTTACGTGCATTCACAGCTTATTCACAAGACACAGCATGCAGGTTATAAAATATGTTTCTTCAATGATACTGCTAAGTGCGAAAAACCAAATAGATTTTTTGCCGAGGTATCAAGGGAAATCTTACCGAGGCACTGCAAACACTAGTTAATATTTCAGGGGAAGAGAGGGGTGAGGGAGTTAGCGGCCGATCAACATCAAAAAATGTTTCCGGACATCATATTTGTCATCTTACTGTGTATTTGACTACCGTTGTTCGTTCCATTTTTCCCTAATGGTTTCGTAAATTTCTTCACATTTTAGCTATCATTCTTAATTTTTAATCGATGTCACTCAAATATTTTATTTTTTCTTCCTATCCAAATCCATGTTTTGCCGACTGGGATGAATATTCTGCTGACTATATCTGAAGACTGGGGGTGTTCCACCACCCTTTAGCGCCGTCCCTGCTTGTGAAGTGATTCCGTGTAGTTATTATAACACAGCAGTAATAATTTTAAGTTATAAAATTAAGGATTATCCGTGAAAGGATCACTTAATATGAGAAATTATGTTCAAAAGCACAATATTTAATAACTGTTTAATTTTTTTACTATACACATCAGTCATCACCCTCTTCACACTCTTTACATTCGTAGCAGCACGTTCATTACATTATGTTTGTAAGCCAATATATTTTCATAATAATATTTGATAGAATAAAAAATTTCATCTAGTAAGTTTATAGGCCCTAGTACTCTTAACTCAAGAGCTATACATATAGCTATTCTAACATAATGTTCCGTCGCAATTTAAAATGCCGCAAAATTTAATTTTTTTTATATTTAAATATATATATATATATATATATATATATATAAATCGCCTGAAGATCGATCAGACAAGATCGTGAAACTCAGAGTAGCGAAAAAACATGTTATTTTAAGATATTTGTAACGTTAATTATATATATATATATATATATATATATATATATATATATATATATATATATATATATATATATATCTTAAGATTTTGGTTTACGAAACACAAACAGTGCTCAATACCATATAGAAAGATAAGGTTTTTCGTTTTACCTCAAAAAACCACAACAGTCTGTTTCATCCGTATAGGAATCATCAGGTGGTGAATAATTTCGAAATTATTCACCACCTGGTGACTCCTATACGGATGAAACAGACTGTTATGGTTTTTCGAGGTAAAATTAGCAGTACACGTGTAACACACAGAACTAGTAAATAACGTAACCTTGGCTCACCATCTGATGCCTTATATAGCTTAATGGTTAGAGCGTCTGTCCGGTTATCAGAAGGTTACGTGGTTCAATTCCCGTTAGGGTTCAGAATTTTTCTAAGTATAGGCTTGATACGCATCCACACCAAATCACGTATTCCACAAACTGCAACAAAAACACACATATACGGAAATGCAGTTCTTAATTAATAACATCAACAAGACATGTCGAGACTTGGCAACCAATAGCAATGCGTCCCAAACCATAAATGGATAAACGCGTATCCAAACCAATCATATAGATAAAGCAATCAAATTATGATTTCGTCTCATCTCAGGATACTGGTTTGCAATCAAATTCATGCCAATCCACTTTGACAAAGCAATCAAATTATATTGGTGCATGTTTGTAACGTCCGAAACCACTCTTTACATAAAACTAACATAAGGGCATTTACTGACCAAAACACTCATGTATCCAGTGTCATATGGCTGCCAAGGTGATGGGTCCAAGCGCTTGAAAGGAGGGGTTGCAACTTGCCATGCGTCAAATGCATGTCGGTTCTAACATATAAGGGAAGGGACGTAGTGTTTATCGTTGGGGGCGGGGGTGTAAGGGTTCAAATTACCTAATTTTTTAAATCACTTTTTACGTTACTTAAAGCAGTCAGTGTTTTGAAATAAATGAGTATATACGTTCAAGTAGCAGGAATGCTCCCCCAAGAAAATATTGAATATCTAGACCTCCTGAAAGCCTGGAAATTCAAATACAATTTCAGCTAGCAATTTACCTGAAATTGCACATGAATAAATATTGGGAGGAGGGGGTGTTACCTCCCTTACACACCCAGTGGCTACGTCCCTGCACACAAGGGACACAAAACTACTCAGGAGTTACCATTGCATAATTAATATTTAATACATCTCTCGATTTTAGGTTTATATTTACATGTTTGGAATGTTCGTTATATTAATAATTGAATTATTAACACTAATAACTATGAAATATTAATAAATTTTAGAAATAGGAAATAAAGTTAAATTTTGTTTGAACAAATTAATATCAGAGATGCAAATCAAGGGAGTCTCTGTTACACAAACTAGCGCCCAAGATTTTCCTGATATGTCACACTCTGTATCCATTTCAGTAGCTTCACTATGATCCGCATTACTGACCCGTTTGTGACCTAGTATAAATTGTAACATAGATAGATAGATAGATAGATAGATAGATAGATAGATAGATAGATAGATAGATAGATAGATAGATAGATAGATAGATAGATAGATAGATAGATAGATAGATAGATAGATAGATAGATAGATAGATAGATACATAGATAGATAGATAGATAGATAGATACATACATAGATAGATAGATACATAGATAGATAGATAGATACATACATAGATACATAGATAGATAGATACATAGATAGATAGATAGATAGATAGATAGATACATAGATACATAGATACATAGATACATAGATACATAGATACATAGATAGATAGATAGATACATACATAGATAGATAGATACATAGATACATAGATAGATAGAGAGACAGATACATAGATAGATAGAGAGATAGACAGAGAGACAGAGAGACAGATACATAGATAGATAGAGAGACAGACAGAGAGACAGACATACAGAGAGACAGACATACAGAGAGACAGACATACAGAGAGACAGACATACAGACATACAGACAGACAGACAGACAGACAGACAGACAGACAGACAGACAGACAGACATACAGAGAGACAGACATACAGACATACAGACAGACAGACAGACAGA